TATTAGTCAAATAGTAACAATATTTATAATTAAACAATCATTATGATAACATTTGCTTATAAAGAGTGGATTGGATTTATTCGATGTGATAGGCTACACACCAAACATAACCCACGAAAGTATTAAAACTTACTCCCATTGGATTCCTTCTGGTGGTGAATTGGGCAGTACACCGGAAGACAATCCCCTAGGTACTCTTATCCAAAGAGTGTACTGCACTCTTTAACGTGCCATTTTGCACATATGGATCAACGGCTTAAACATCTCATCCGAAAGACGGTGCACTTTTTTTTTTCAAATTGCATTTCAGCTCTCCAGCTGAAAACACAAGGAGAGCAGCGATTGGAATTGAACCGGGAACCAAGAGATTTCCACGGTTCGAGGGCACACACAGTGGCATAACGATGAACAAATATGAATAGTAAAATAACAAAAATCCAAACATACTTTCTGGCTTACAATCTGTGCCGTCACTACTTGCATCAACGTATCCTGAAGCACATCGGCATGTGTAGTTACCTTTGGTATTCACACACACCTGGTGACATGGATTGTCATCACACTCATTGTAATCTAGTTAAAATTAGAGTTAAAGTTAAAGGTTTTGTGTACACCATTTAACCTACAAACAAATTTGTAATTTGATTTTCGATTAAAATTAAAATCATAGGAAAGTAATAAAAAGTACTGACCAGCACAAGACATTTTATCATCTTTTCTTAGTATAAATCCATCTCCACAGGAGCAAGCAAATCCGCCGTCTATGTCTGTGCAGATCTGTTCACACTTAGCTGCTTCTGAAGCACATGTGCTGTTCTTGTCTGAAAATCAATTTTAAAGTTGAACAATCAAATTTAAAACAATTGGCCAACTTTCGTACCCAACTAGCACTAATATCGATTAGACCATGGAGACCTATAGAATAATATATATGCAGATTCCATTAGACCACGGATAATAATATATGTGCAGATGTAACCCTTAGGCACGGTGCTACGCAGCAAAATCTAATTTGAATATGAATATACATATATACATATATATATATATATATATTATATATATATATATGATTAGCTATTATTCAAAATATAAAAATTATTATACATTCATCATGTAAGCGGCTATAAGTGCCATAAATTGAACATGTGGGCCGCGCCCTCACCACACACTAATTAAAATTTGTGAAACTTACGGCAACCATACTCATCTGTATTATCGTTACAATCATCAAAGGTATCACAGACGTAGGTAACTGGAATACATCGCAAGTTCTCGCATTTGAATTCATCTGATTCACACATTTCTGGAAGCGGAGTGCCTAAAATATGTTATATCAAAGGTATAGAATAGCAAAGATGTTCGACAGCCTTGATTACGTATGCACGCAATAAAATTAAAAAATAAAGCACACAGATCTTATAATTTAATTATAAGATCTTTGATGATAAAGTACTAGCACGAAACAGGGGCGCCCTCTTAGACTTAAAATAGATTCGAATAGAGTTCGAAACTCAAATTGTTCACATGTTCGATATGAACACCTTTTAACGTTCATCGGAAGGACGCCCTCTAGTTTGTAGTAGTACTTTTTGAAGTAGGATTCCGTTTCAAGGAAACCTCGACAGTCGATCCTATTACTATTTTATACTCTTTACCTATAAAGTGAAAGAAAATTTATAAATTAAATCTATCAATAATTATTAGTAGCTAATATGTACGTAGATCTACAAAGAAGATACAGTGCTTGACGCTTTTCCAATGTTCTATGTAAACATCTCCATCATCAAACATTTTTTTTTTAGATTTTTTTTCAAAAAGGCAACATTGGTATCTTCATAATAAAGATGTGAAAGTGGCCCTCACACAAAATTATTCATACTGTACAAGAATATTTATTGCTAAAACTTTTTTTTATAAACGTTAACGTTTAAAAATTTAAATTTCTATAGGGTTTTGTTGGTTTTAAGTAAATTCAAAATGTCAGACACATTGTCAGATAAAAATAATTCTCACTGTATGCTCCGCCTAACCACGTTTCTTCCCAAATTACGAGGGGCGTTTAAGAGAAATATTTGACAATAATTCAAATTTGTTTAATGAAAATTGATAATAAATTGAATGTGAATGTACCAGGCACTTTATATTACTACAGCTAGCCAGTTTATTATTGGTAGTAAATCATTTTGTACAACGTGTATCATGAAAAAAAAAGCTTACATGACTTATCTGTTTCATCAGAGCCATCGACACAATCTTCAAAACCATTGCACATTAAAATGGTATGTATACATAACCCAGATGAAGAACACATGAACTTGTCTGTTGGACATTTATCTAAAATACACAATATAAACAACATAAAAGGCTGGGTGTCAACTGTTGGTTAAGGCACTTTGAAGCTGTTGCTGCAGCAGTTAAATTGGGCTCTTGGAAATTTTGCTGTAAATAATAACTTACCGCAATCTTGTTCATCAGATTCATCTCCACAGTCATTATCTCCATCACATGTAAATGTTTGAGGAATACATATATCGGTGTTGGTGCATCGAAACTCATAGTCTTCACAGTCAACTGGCCCTAGAACAGTTTATTTCATGAAAACGGTATTCTATTGGAACAAGTTGCAAATGACTAACTTATGATTGTAGCCATAATACATGATCCCTCTTTAGAGTCAATAGTTCCATACTTATCATTTACATAAACGTACAAAAAATGTATTGCCATTGTGTTAAGTTCACATTTATTGTAATATTGTTTTTCCATCATGTAAATTTATGTATGTATTGATAGATGCTATATGTAAAAATAAAATCAGAACATCATTTTGTAATCATGGCTTTTAGGGGATTTTTGTTTTGTTTATTTATTCTTTTATCTTCTTTTACTATGTTTTTGCACAGGATATTTCTGTCTGGCACTTTTTTCACTTTCCATGCTTGGATATTCTTCTAACTTGTCTAAGCAAAGACCATAAAAAAGATGCGTATATTAAAATAATTATTACGATATTCTGCATATTTTCTATATAAATAATCGGGTAATAAAACTGTTATGTTAAAGCAATTTTAAGTTAAAGCAACTAGCGTTTGTAACTAGCTACAACTAGGTTAACCCAAAATTACCGCATGTGCAATTTTCTCCCTCGACCTGACGAAATTACGCATTAAAATGCGTTGACTTCGGCAGGGTCAGGGTCTATGGTTCAATGGTTGAAATTCTCTACATCACACCCTCGCTATTGGCACTGTAGCTCTAGTTCGAGTTTTGCTGACGTAGAGTTGGTCTTTATGTTTGTTTTCTTTATTTGATTTTATTTTTGTATTTCTAAATTGTTTACTTCATAAATTTTTAATGATTATTTTTTTTACATTGTAATTTCAATATCAGACATAGTAAGTCTTGTCGAAATCTGTTTCTTTGTTTTAAGTTTTGGAGCTGGATTATTTACAAATAATGAGAAAAAAACCCCATAAAATCCAATTTTATTTACCACAATTTATCTCATCTTCACCCCCAAAGCAATCGACGTAGCCATCGCATTTGTATGCCCCTATTATACAGTGTCCAGTCATGCACCGGAAATTGCCTTCATCACATGCTGTGGTGTCTTGTAATAATAAACAAAACCATCAAATTATTGTTTGTTTGATTAAAAGTAAGTTGGGCTTTTTTTTTTTAAAGATATTTTGTTTCTAAAATACTGGCTCCTGGTGTGTGACTGAGATCTTTAGTCACTGACTTCATCAAATAGGCTAATTCATTGGTTTTATGAAAATAAAAGACAGGTAGAGAGAAGTATAATGTTTAAAGACATGAATAAGACAGAAAAAAGAAATAAAGCTCTTGGAAAATTATACACGTGGAAAAACACTTAAATACATTTAAGATTTTAAGACATTTTTTTTAAAGTAACAAATCAAAATTAAATAAAATAATGAAACCTGTCCGAATGTTAGATAAAGCCATTCTACAACCTAGCACACATCTTGTAGGTATGGAGTGGAAGTTATGGGGTGTTAGTTTGAAATAATTTTAAATGCTTGTAAATAAATTGCTGGATAGTGATTATTTACAACCAACATTCTTAAAAGTACAAATAATGGCGAATAAATATAAAACGACAAACTAACATAATTCCAGTTAAGACAAGTATCCACCTGTACTCTTTCCACGTAGGATTGTTACAGAGAGGCGAAGGCTATAATTGAAACATTAAATGTTTAAAATTTTTAAATAAATGATTCTGACCCAAGCGACAAGTATCCAAGACCTGATAACAGTATTGCATATAAGGGAGGCCTTTAAATCTTCTGGCCAGTACGATAGTTAAATACTGTACTGTTTTCTCCACTAACCTATAGTTGTATAATGCCTATAGACTATAAATAATTTAAATTAAAAAAATAAACTTACTGCACATCTGCTCATCTTCTCCAAAAAAACAATCGAAATCTAAGTCACAAACGTAATGCCAGGGAATGCACAACCCCGACATACATTTAAATTCACTCTCACTGCAATTTCTGGGAGCTAAAATAAATAAATTTCATATCCTGAAATCTAGCACAGAACTAAATGAATGAACTAGAAACAAGAATAGATTCTTGTTTCTAGTAATAATTAATATTATTGGTTGTTTTTTTTTTTTAAATTTTAATTACATAGTAATTTCACTCACAAATTGTTTCTCTATTTTGCTTTGAACGCTCTACATTTTATGGTCCATAATAAGAGAGAATTTAACTTGATTCATTTTAGGTAATGCTCCAGCTCAGATTAAATTGACTATTTATAACGATTTTCTGTAAGTTTATATCTATAGGTTAAAAAAGGACAAATAATTTATACATATAAAATAAAGTATGAATAGCAGTTATTCTGCTACTGTTGTTGATGAAGTAATAGTAGTGTTGTTAAGTTTAGGCCTATTTAATTTATATAAGTTATCATTACACCACAGGAAGTACTATTGACACTTATTGACATATGAAATGCTTTATAAACTAAATATTAATGACAGGCCTTAATATAGGAGAAACTGGGCGCACACTTGGTCAACCGAAAAGTTTCCATGGATGGTAGCAACGACGATCTATTCAGACTGCGATCGACAACCGCTGCAGTGGAAACGCTTTCGTCCGGCAGACTTAGTGTTCCCGGCTTTAGTTATAAGAACATGTTCCACACAATTTGAACTAAGATTCTGGAATTATAAAGCAAGCATCTGTACAATTAAGATGCACTTCAATTTAATTATTACATAATACTTACAACAGCCAACTTCATCTGATCTATCTCCACAATCATTGTCAGAGTCGCATTGCCATCGCAGAGGGATGCATCTGTTATTATAACAACGGAACTCATCCGAACTACATGTTCGACTTTCTAAAATATAAGGGAAAACATTTGTTAAACCGATATGATCTATAAAGGGTGGCTATTTCAGCTTATTTTAGAAGGTCGGCTGATATTCAGGTTCTGTTAAATATATTACAAGGAGCTAAGTTGCAGGACCCTAAAATAGGAAGACTAACGTCGCATGCATCACCACTACAAAGTAACTACAATGCATGACTATGTATAGCGAGAAGGTTTTATGTTTAGGATATGGCCAGGAGGCGACCAGCCGAGCAAAGAAAGCATTGTGATGGAAGGCTAGGTTGGTTGGTCTCAGGTGGGGGTCAGAGGCGAATCCTTGGAAGCTGCGAATTTTGACGAATTCCGGTTAGTTATTATTTTTTGATAAACATTAATCTACAGTTGATTTCATGTAACATTTTGTAATCTATAAAACAACTTTCTACGGTGAACAAATTCATTTTGAATAAAATAAAACTAGAGTAGAAACAAAGATTATAGGATGTCGACACAAAAATAAAATCCCCTTTTCACTGAATCTTCTGTCAAGTTGAATTCTATCAAGGACCTCTACGTCATTTTGGATAAATAATCAAAACCCCAATGAAGTCAGTACTTTGAACGTGAGAGTCTCCTGGACTAGCTAGTGACGTAGCCTGTCTGGTAGGACTCGACCTATCTACATTTTGTTTCTAGGGCATCCCAAGTCATAGCACCGTTCTCCTGTTTGGCACTTAGTCATCTAATATTTGAGTGTCGACGAGTTAAACAGCATAGAATTTTTATATTTTTATATGTAAAAATGCAAAACTTGCCACACAAGCTGCTCTGTTCATCAGATATATCAATTCGACAATTGTAGTTGCCATCACATACAGCGTATTCTGGGATACAACGGTAACTATCCGAACACGGAAACCATCCAGGAGCGCACGTCACAGTCTCTGAAATTATCAATACATTATTATTTAAAAAAATATCTGTGCTCCATGTAGGTTTGGATATTCCCATCTCTGGTATTTAATAATATTACAGTGGCTGGGCACTTGGTATAGGCCTAATTTGAGATTTAGACATATACCTACAAATTAAATTTATTAAACAATAATAGAATACACTAATATAATATATAAATAGCTCAGATTATTTGTCAGGCGATTGTTTCTTATATTTTTTTTGCCGCCGAAGCTACCGATAACATACCACACCACACCACTACCATTACTATCACTACTATAACTTGCGTGCAAACTAGCTTAATTTTGTGAAACATACGGCACTGATCGGGAGGCTCGTCGCTGCTATCACCACAATCATCATCAAGATCACAGAACCATGCATCTGGAATGCAGTAGCCATTGGCACACTGGAAGTATCCAAGCGAACAATTATTGTTACCTGTTAAAATAAAAGTAGAATGTAAAGTTATGTAAATAAATATTTACAAGATCAAGACAGATCAAACTTTAATAATACTTTAGTATTTTGAGTACAGGTCTCCCACCAATTAAAGACCACTTTTGGGACCGGGGTTTCCATGGTCTTTAGCAGCTTTGGTATATAATTAGAATAATAAAAATAAGAGATATTTGTTGATTTGTGACGACAGGAAAGTGATCTTCATTTGGAGGTGGTCTTTAATTAGAGGGGTCTTTAATTGGAGGGAGAACTGTATTTATTATCATCAACATTTTTGTCATCATGATCATTATCACCGCCATCGACAATGATCTTCTTCGTCGTCGTTGTCGTCGTCACCATAATCATCATCATTATTATCATCATCATCATCATCGCCGCCGTCGTCATCGTTGATTGTACGATTTTGAACTATATTTTCCACATTGTACAAAAGATGTGTATTTTTAAGTACGACTAGTTTATTTGAAAACCACTTTTAAACCAATGTGAAGTCATCTTACTGCATGTATTCGCGTGTTCATCAGATCCATCAGCACAATGCGCTTCTAGTTGGCACACGTCTTGCTGGTTAATACATTGTCCATTGTCACAGCGGAATTCCCATGGGCTACATTCAGTAGTTGCTAAAATACGTAAAGTACAGATTTCTTAAACTGCTATAATTTGAAGATCCCAATATTGCCTATATTGAACATTCAACCTGAGACAACTATATATATAATTTTCACATCTACAACCTTAAAAAAACCCCCAATATTTAAGTTTAATAAGAAAATTCGTAGTTAGAACTGAGCATGCTCGTAGTCAATTGACATAAATCGATTGCTTTATTAGGCATATGTGTATCATTGGAAGTTAACAACTTATTTGAATATTTTAAATAATCTCAAAGTTTGAGGGCTTTGTAGATTTTACAATAGAGTATTAAACTATCCATGGGCCTCTTAATTTAAGATTGTTACTTACAACAATGGTTCTCATCTGAATTATCGCCACAATCATTATCACCATCACATAAGAAGGCAGGAAAAGTACATTCTCCATTATCACATTGGAACAAACCGGACATACAAGATCGATACGCTACAAAAAGAAAATAGTGTTACTGCAGGTCAAAAGTATATAGTTTTTGTGTGACCAAACTGAGCATGTTTCAATAGCCAGTATACGCGTATGTCTCACAACGTATAAAAGCTAATATACGTGTACTATATACTGTGTTGGATTTAATAACAATATCCATTGTTTAAGGCTTTCCAGAATGGTCCATTGTTTTTAGTAGTTGTGTGCACATTGTCTATCTTTACGCCAAATGTTTGTTGTTCGCTAATATTCCTATTAAAGTTATCATTTCATTATCAAAACAGATTTCTGTACAAACTATGCTAGAAATATGTTGCGCAATGCAGATGATACTGGCAATGATGATCGTGATGATAGTTGTCTCAGGTGATGATAAGAAGGATGATGATGAAGATGATGATTACGAAGATAATTATATTGATGATGCAAATGATAATAATTATGATAATGATGAAAATAGTAATAACGTTAATTTAAATTATGATACATGGCTTATGATAATGATGTTAAAGTTCTTTTATTGCTTTAGAATGCCAGTATTGATAGTAAAAAGATGATTTTAATCTACAACTTGCTGTCACATATACACGTATATTAGCTTGTGAATGTTGTGAGACAAATATTTTATTTATTGTAATTCTATATAAAGGCTAAAATATGATATAAAATTAAAAGAAATTGAAACTAAATCACAATGATTGTTAAATCGTATTACTCTTTTAAAAGTGTCGCATTATTTTATCAGATCTTTTTAACATCATTATTTAATTATAAATATTATAATTATTTCGACCATGTAGGTTAATGTAATATTTTAAATATTTTTTAGAATTAAATGGGCAAAAATACCACAAACTATAATTCCGGAAAACAATAAAACCAATGCATACTGGTTTCTGTAGGAATAACATTACGTGATAATATTAATAAATACAATTTATGCAACAATTCTATTACAAGTAATATACAATATTTTTAATAGTTACGCAGTGATAATTTAAAGCATATTTGTTGTTATACTCACAACAAGTTATATTTTCATCGGAGCCGTCTCTGCAGTCTCCTTCACCATCACACTTCCAGTAGAAAGGTATACATTTGTCATTGTCAGCGCATTTAAACTGCTGATTAGTGCATTGTGCCTCACAATTTTTTCCATCAGACTTCAACTCAAAGTTATTTGGACATGCGCACGAAAAGTTTGTAACTCCTTGAATGTTGGATGGGGTGAGAAGGCATAGGTGACTGCATCCACCATTATTTACATCACATGGGTTAATGATAGCTGAAATGAAATGAAATTATTTTTGGTTAAAAGTCGCAGAAAAAAAAACGAATCTCGAAAATTGTGTGATGAAAGCTTTACTACTATAGTAATTTAAACAGGCGGGATATCAGTAATGTAACACGTCTAGTAGAGCTGATAAACAACTTCACATTATTGGCAAATATACGGAAATGACAAAGGGGCGCTCATGTTCCATGCCTGGCAACAAGCAAGAAATCAATATCTAGTAAAATAATTTAGATAAAAGATTAAAATGACGCCTATCAAAGAAACAAATAATTATATGTTTTCCTTTCACCATTCACAATCATAAAACTTTACGTTGCATTGTCATGACGGATCAAATTAAATTTATTCTAACATTTAAATTGAACTATTATTTATTATTCATTTTATTTGGTTCGATTTTGCTGTTTTTAAGACTGTGTAAGCTTTTTTAATATATGTTTTGCCTCAATAAATTTAACTTTTGTTACTATACAATGAAATTTCATCTTTATTCGTTGAACATAAAAAAATGGTTAAATAAAAGTAACTTCTAATAGGCCAACTACACAGCAATATCAACTCACTTGCATCTTGTCTGAGAGGATGCACCACGTGTATGTCAAATGGTCGTTGTATTAAAGTGTCTAAGACCTCCGCTTGTCGTCCGCTCAATTTGTTTGCCTTATTAATAGTCATTAAATTCCAATCAGTCCAATATAGGTAATCTTCAAAAACAGTCACAGCAAATGGATGACCAACCCCCTCTTCAAGAAGTATTGTAATACCACTTCCATTCAAATTTGAATAGCTATAGTTTAAATTGAGTATAACTATCATCATCATTATAATAATTTCTTCAATTACACTTTTTCACTTCTACAGAACAGGCTATCAACTGCTTATCTCCACCAAATACAATGTTAATAAAATATTTTCCTGTTCTACATTCTATAGTATATAATTATTTTCATTATTATTACTTTACAATTACCAGACCGATTATGCGGTTATGTGCTATATACTCCAGGTAAACATCACATCAAATATGCTAAAACATAGTTATGTGCAACTAATAGAGCACTAAAATGTTGGGATTTGTAGCATAACCTAGGTCAGTAGGCCTTAAATGCCAAAGGCTTGCTGTTATATGTAATTCTGTTGGACATTCTATGCCGCGTACAGTAAGAGAAACAGCAACGTTGATTATGAACAACACTATGCTGTCCTTTACCGAAAGCGACCTACAACAGATTCAGTTCAATAATAACATTGCATTTCCAGCCACATGTAATCACGACCATTAAAACCTTTTTATTTATTCGTAACAATCCTTACACAATATGATCGAGATGAGCATCGACCCAGTAGAGTTTATTAGTTGCATAGCAAATTGTAAGTCCGTTTGGCCAGCCAACAAGATCATTTTGAAACTCAATTGGATTTGATCCGTCCATACCTGCTCTTCCAATGTATGGTCTTAATCCCCAATCAGACCAATAGAGGTACCTGTGAGATAGCATAGTTAAGTAATATGAATGATTACTGGTTGCAAAATACTAAAACTGTTCTTCCAGTGTATGGTTTTTTTTTAACCTTAAATATGGATATTGTTTTCATGAATTATAATGTATGTACGATTATCAGTAAATACTAATTTCAATGTTTCTTAATTTCTTAATCTTTACTGACTAATGATCTGTTACTTATTAACCTCGATACATACCTAGGCCAAGTTCAGAGCAACAATTTTGTCATCACAATCTTTATAAAATAAATATTATACAAGATTCTTCTATTGCTATTCCACTGCTTACATACAAAAACAATTGTTATTTGTTTTAATACATTTGATATAATGTGGTGCTTTCCTTCTGGCTAAGTGAGCCGTCCATCTTCAATTACAATCTGACTTTCTATTATTTTAGCATAAATCTATGGTTTGAGCTTATTCCATTGTTGCGCCATTGCACTGTAATAGACCGTTATTTAACAGCAAATGAGATTTAGCATCTTGAGTAATGGTGGAATGCTAGACAAAAAGGCAGACATCATTGTAAATTACAATATAACAAGAAATGTTTTCTCACCTAACAGACGGAAAAAAAATACCGTTCTAAAGACTCCTAAATCATCTGGTAATCAAAGTGATTTTCTTTCGTATGTTTTGAGTAATTGTATTAATGCAAGTTGATAACTCATTTTATACACTTGAATGACATTATCAGAACTTTTGTTATAATCCTAAATATTTTTTTTTAAAGAATCTACTACCACGTTCTAATTTGTTATAAATGGTATCATTGAAATCCACTGCGATTTTATTAAGATTTTTTTAGTTATAATTAAAAAATGCAACACAAGTTATGAATTCCTTACTAACCCATTCCTTGGATCCAACGTTATTCCCCTGGGTTCAAAGAGGTTTTGTTGTATGAGAGTCTTTCTTGACGACCCATCTAAATTAGCAACATCTATTACTTTTCGACCACCATCAGTCCAATATATTTTCCTAATAAAAAGCAATTTTTTACACAACACACTCATATATAAACTGATTGATAACATTAAATACACCTAATGGTATGTAGTACAACATGTCATATTTAGGAATTTAGGAAATTATAAATTACCTGCCAACCCAATCAATTGCTAGTCCTTCACCCTCATCAATATCTTGCGAAATTATTGTTTGTGGGTCTGAGCCATTTAACATCAAACGCATTATTTGGTTTTGCAAGTAGTCAATGCAGTAAATATGCCCACCGACTAAATCAAAATCCATGGCGGAAACAAGGTAGAAGCCCTGTGACAGCAGTTGGTCGTTCTCTCCATTAAGGTCAACTCGACGAATATAGTGATAGTTACTGAATAACAGGTACGGCTCCGTATCTACAAAACAACGTCACATCTTAAACATGTATAAGGGATACTCCCAATCAGTGGCGTATCTAGGGGTGCACGAGGGGTGGGGCACATGCCCATCTAATAAATACTCACGCCCCCTGTCGCCCCCCACCCTTACAAAAATCATGCTCAAGTAGTTAAAATCACCTAAAGTTACCCTATTTTGCGAGTTAGTGCCCCTCACAACATAATCATCGATCCCCTTAATGACTCTTGCGCCACACACCAGAAGGCATTATAGAACTAACTGCAAACAGACAGGAATGAAAAAAGCTAGTGATCTAGCCTCCATAGAAGAAAATTGATGATGACGTATTTAGTATGCAATTATATTTCAGTTGCAAAAACACTGTCAAAAATAGGTCCCAGCGGGAGCGTGTGTCTACTGCCATATACAAGAGTTTTTGTTTTTGAATTTAATCTTGTGTTCTTCAATATGCAGATGTGTGTATTATTGTAGTGTATCTGGACTTTTCATGAAAATTTTCTTTCATCACAATATTCTGTATACTACTATTATATTACACTAAAAACACTTTAAAAAAGAGTAACTCTTGGAGTTACCGCGTTATGTCGTTGATCTCGAAAAGTACCACCATGTTCAAATGACGGTAAAAAGCCTTCGTGGCGAACGAGTCCTGCATCCCTATAACGCATGTTTGTGCTTTGAACGCAATTTTGTTCGAATTCCGAACGCTATTCGATTTTCAATAGAACGCCCCTACCTCGTGGTAGTAGTACCCGTCATTCCTCCACCAGATTTACTCTTTTCCGCCATCTTTAATTGCTACATCATGACATAGTGTCTACGACCCCCGATGGGGGCAGTAGACACAAAAATTAGAAGCCGAACTTTCTCTATAACGCATTTTTTGAAAGATAAGTTCACGTATAAGTATATGATGATGAAGCTATTTTACCATCACTATGGATACAGCTTCCTGAAGTTTTCAATTCATAGCCTGGAACACATTCACATCTATAAGATGGAACTAAATTAATACAAGTCTGACTACAAAGCCATGGTTCATCCACACATTCATTGATATCTGGAAAAAAATCCAAAACAATATTGGTTAAATCTGGATTTCACTGATTTAAAAAGTACATAATTGAATTCTTGGTCATAACTTAAAATACATAGCCAATTTAAAAAGAAATGTTTGTTATTCTGATTCTATTTCATCAAATCTGGTCTATACAAAATTTAGGAGACATTACAATAAAATTTAACTCATGTATGATCGGAATAAAGAAAGACAAAATCTCAGTAGATATAGTGCCATACAAAAGACTCAAGGAAAATAGATAGCATTGGAAAATTGTAGTTATAAATTTTCGCTTTAGTGTATTTATTAATTGATAACCGATTAGCATTCGCGACTGCCATAAATTTTTCAGGTTGATATATGCCAACTTGTATTATAAATTACTTGTTACTTGCTGTTATATAATATAATAGAAAATACAAACCTTCGCAACTAATACCATCTTGCTTCAGTTTGTATCCACTCTCACAACCACACTGATATGAGTTTGGTGTATCGATACAAATATTCTGACATGGACTTACGGTAGCGTTACACTCATTAATGCCTGCAAAACAGATATTATTATAGGGCCTAATATTATTGTGTATTTTTCTCCTTTACATGAATTAATATTAATTAGTTATTATCCATTTTGTGCCCGTAGAAAAAAAGAATCCTTATCTGTCATTCAAGTTTCAATCAAAGAAATTGAATGTGGAGGTGTTACAGTTTAAAGAAATAGAACAACAAACTAATTACCTACAAAACCGAAACAGAAAATACAGAAGAAAACATATAGGCCTTTTACGAGATCAAACTCTATAAGAAATGCACGGGATACCTATAGACCTGCCAATGAAATGCAGCGCACAATAACGTGTGAATTAGGTGATGACAATAAATTAATTTTAAAAATATGATATGTGATATACATCAAAGTATGCAGCTGAACCTAGTCATGAAAATAATTTGTGACTGCACACACTGAGAACACGTATGGACTACAACAAATTTTATTCTGAACTGCTCCACACTTGTACATGTATAGTCAGATCGATTTTGATATATTATATAGGTATGTACACAAAACATTTTGTGGTAATCAACATCACTGTATATGCTTTACTGAATTTTTATTAGCTGTTTCTTATAAATCAGTTATTATGCACGGTGGTTGTTATGTTTATTATTCTATTTTTCATAGTTAATATTATCTGAAGCTTTCACCAAAGACTAAACATTAACTACTGACCACAATTGTGTTCATCTGTTAGGTCAACACAATCACTCAGGTCATCACAAATTTTGTCTCTGGAGACACAGCTTCCATCAGAACACACATGATCAAAAGGTCCACATGTGATAGTACCTGGAAAGAAGGCAGATAACCATTTATGGTAACCTATTACAGGACTTTCTTAGATGTTCGGATAAAACCCCGATTTAGATTGCTCTAGATACATGTAATTTTATACTGTCTAAGTATTTTATGAGAATAACAATATCACATTAAAATCCGTCAATCAGTTTCGATAATTTCCAAAATGCAAACACAATGAAACGAATAAACACACAAAATGAGCATAGGAACAAAGAATAACAAAGAACTCCCAAATTCCATTGTTACCATACTAGTATTTTGTGTGGCGGCGCATCCAACAACAAACGCTATTTTTATTTTAATGTTTATAGTAATTAAACTCAAACTCTCCGAATACCGTTTCTTTGCTTTACCAACTGAGCTTTTGTAGTAGGTGAGTTTGGTAGACCTGTTTAAATTTCCTATATAAGTACACATTATTTTCAGGATAAACTGATTAGCATCAATATAGTTAGCTAGTTGCGAATGTACTTTGCAAGACCTGCAGAGGTAGCGCCATGATCTTCCCAACGGGTGGGAGGGGCACGATGACTCCCACGGGGATGGAGAATTTTCCCGACAGGATGGCCGTCTTCCTTGACGTAATCATATTTAAAACAAAATCTGCAAAGCAAGTGTAAACGGTACAGTGGTGACGGCAGGATCTGCCCGACAGAGACGCTGAAGGCCCGCACTAAGGGTTTGAGGACGAAGCGAGTATTTAGGCTGGGGGATATGGCACCGGTGGGAGAAGCTACGGATATTTGACGAACTTGTGAATTTTTTATTTATATGATATACATCAAGCTACGTAAAATTATATTCTTTTCTCTTTAATGAAGTCTATAAGATAAGAAAGGGAGGGCCCTTAAAATGTTAATCCATCTCACCACAATTGACTTCATCTGAGTTATCTCTGCAATCATTGTTTCCATCACACTGCACGGCTAATGGTAGACAGCGGCCACTTCCACATGTAAACTCCGCTGAGCTGCAAGAAGAAAATCCTACAAAACCCAAAAAAGAGCGCAAGAAGGAACTCAGGAATATTTACTTATATTAAACTTAGTACCGTAATTTATATGTTGCAGTATCGTAAACGTTAGTAGTAGAGAAGCCGTATATACTCATAACAATATTAATTTGATCTAGTATCACATATCATTTAGAGCTTATAATGTGGAAAATATGAATAATGCTGGTTTTGAGATTTCGTGCCTCATTATGAATTTAATGTAGTGTAAATATTACGATATGCTAAATTTAATTTGTAAAGCCATACTTATTCAATTAGCCTTAGTTTCCTTTTTTTTTATATTTGTTGTCTGGCTATAATCTTACTTTGAAGTGAGAATCAGCAGGTATATTAATTTGTCTAGCAACAGTTGAATTTTGTAGAAATTATGCCATCAAACTTATACATCTTAGATATACAATTTCTGTTATATAATAGTTTAAGATTAATAATTAATAATATAATATTTACCGCAATTGTTTTCATCAGAGCCATCTCCACAATCGTTAAAATAATCACAAACCCATGACAATTGGACACAATATCGGTTGTTGCACTGGAATTCATTTGCATCACACACATCAACTGAAATATAATAGAATACATTTTATACGTCAACTGTGATGTCATTATTTTACACTCACTTTGACCTGGTAATAATGTTTTGCGGTTCGTACTTAAAGGGCATGGACAAGTCTCTTTTTCTTTATCACACCGCGTTGTTAGGGTCTGCTAAAGGCACGCGACGGCATTGGCGGCCAGTTACTGTATGAAGGCTTAGAGACAAGACGAGACAACAAGGTGATTGACTTACAAAGCAATTCGTTTCAATATATTTCTTTAAGAACTACCTTCAGCACGTGCTAGGCTCTTAACAATTTTTTCTCCAGAAAATAACGGTTCTTTCGGCTTCGGCTATTATTTTAGTGGCCTCAAAATTTGGAAATAATAATTGTGCATCACACAACACAATTTGAGGAGTAGAGTAAAGAAAAAAATACAAATACAAAAACAGAAATATAATTATATCTAGAGTTCTATTCTGGCATTACATGAAACGTGGCGTCACTTAACTTTTATCTTATCTAGATTTAAACTAGTTAAGCCTATGAAGATTTTATCACAAAACAAAAAATGCGTGGATAGTTTATAGAAAATGTAAAAAATAAAACTTTAATAATAGGTTCGACACATTTTTACCTGGCCCGTTGCCACCTGGCCTCTTGCCATCCAGCACTTTGCTACCCAGGCTTATAATAATTATGCACTTGACATTTAGAAACCGGCCATTTTCCGCCCGGCCCATTGCCACCCGCAGTGGCGTAGCTACGGGCAGTGCAGCCAGTGTGAAGCATTTTGGCTGAATGCTTAGGGGCCCATTATAAATAGAGCTAAATATAATAATTTAAAATAAAAACATGATTTTGAAGAAGAAAAAACCGGCTCAATATTATTCGGTTTTTAGAGGAGTGTAATTCTCCATTACTGTGTTGATTTTTATTCATTGGTGTATTCAAGGAGGCTCCAGTCGGCCCGATCCCCTATTTTCTCAAAATTATTAAATACAGTAAAGGGGAAAAGTCTGAGAGTTCAATTTACGGCCATTTAGAGGTGCTATAATCATAAATGTTCCTATACTGAAGCCCCGACCATGGTAGGGCTGAGGTGGTCTACTTGCTGGCTCCCCTTCGGGAAAGAAAATCACATTTACAAAAGTGTATATAGGCCTATGTATTCTCTACATGATTCCAAAATCGATTAAATAAGATTTGAAACCCCGGAATTGTCATATTTTTCGGGGGCCTCGCACCCCCTGGAGCACTTTCGAGAGATTTTGAGCGACGCTCGACCATGTCCACATTATTTTTTCCCTCGGGGATATCGGCCTCCCTCCCGTCGGAGACCTCGGACGCTCCGTCGGGCAAATCCTGGCGCCACCACTGTCTATTGAACATGGAGAATGGAGGTTACCAAAATGGCTTATTTATAAGTACTGTATGTCACGAACTTTTTGAGAATGTATATGAGGGGCGGATCTTTCGTTATAGTGGGAGAGGAGCTACTCAAATTCATATAGTTGAATCAACATCACCATGTGTGGTTCATAAACTAACATTTTAAGGTGTCTGATAGACCAACTTACTAGGCTGATAAATAAAAAAAAAACATTTTACGGATGTGGGGGGGGGGGGGGAGGAACCCTGTGGGGGGGGGGGGGTGAGAATCGGCCAAAAACTGTTTAGCCACCTATAATTCTATCCTGTGCTTAGTAAAATACTCTAAATTTGTGAATTCCCGGTGAAATGTTAGTCTTGTTCAGAGCGAAATAAAAATTTAAGCTAAATCATTTTTGTATAGTCTAGTCAACCATTAGCTACTTAGGCCTATAATAATTCATATCATATCCATATAAAACCTCAACAACAATACTGCAATCCAGCAAAGGTGCTAGATTGAATTGTAAACTAGCTGCAACCAAGTTACTGGGGAATAATGCCTCTGAAATTTAACAGTATTTTTGTTTTATCTGAAGAGGGCGGAATGATGTTGTAATAAGCTATTACATTATATTAATCAACAAATTCGAATTTGTACCGGGTACAACACTATTCTATGCCTAAGACAGGAATCAATGACAGAATGTGCGTCATAAAACGCCTACATGCTCACATTCAATTTTTATACTAAACGTTTTTTTTTTTTTTATTCTTTGTCCTAAAACACCTTACAAATTATTCTAGGTAGTGGTCCTAACATATCTGTCAGGTTACGTGAAACATTGTAGAAAATAATGTTTTTACAATCTATTATTGGATGTAGTGGGCAGTGTTTGTGTATTTTCGGGGTGTAATATAATTTTAGGTTTGTCCCTGATGTTGGGGAAATTGTATGTTTTTTTTCTCTCAGTAATATTAGTTTGTGAGTAAACACCGCCAGTAGTATATGATGAGTTAACTAGATACAAACCTTTACATGAAAAAACAGGAAATATGTCATTCGACAAATACGTCACTTAACCTTGCACAATATTCTAGAAATTCCCATTCATTTCAAATACAAATAGCGAAATTTCTGAGTCATTTTGCTTATGTAACGTTTAAATTTTGTGATATTAAGGTAAGTATAACTACCCATATTTTAAATTAATTATAAAAAAATACTGGATGTTGCCAAAATTAGTTGAAAATCCAATAATTCATACAAAACATTTGTACAATCGATGCTTGAAATAATACAAATATCAATTTATAGTCGAACATTGACATTCAAGCATACAGTACAGTATTTATAGATTCTTCCGAAAAATAAATACTAAATTAATCACTGTAAAAAGTATTACAATAATATTAATAAAAATAATAACGGTGGTGATGGTGATGATGATGATGATGATGTCGATGATTATAATGACGGCGATGATAAAATATATAGATAAAAATATGCTAGTTTCTCAAAAACAAATCATAATTCAGTTATGATGGCTCACTCAGCAGGCAGGGGTTAAATAGGCTAGCCTTCGTTCTATATAAAATGTTATCAACATGTATTTTGTTTACGATTGTAATCTGATAGACTAGTAAGTTTGCATTACAATTTGTTTTCAGTCCCCAAAAATCCCATAAAAGCCAGGCCAAACGGCTTGAAATCGCATGAAAACCGAACATTTTGGACGTGTTTTTAAGCTACCTCCGTTGATATTCCACCGATTTTGTTGACCGTTTCAGTAATGTGTGCACAATGTATTTAGAAATAATGTTATTGTATTTATAATTTAAAAATCTGTATTGCTTTATCGGAATACTTTCTTTTACTTTTACTTTACTACTCTCATTCATAAAGGCCTGACCCGATTTTCATGGCCTTTCACTATTACAAAGATAATAAATCAAGCTTTCTTGTTATCTAAAAAATAATTTCATTGGCTGACTGTAGAGGAGCGAAATCTTAAAATTCGACAATCTCTAATGCTAAAGAATAGGATGGTATTGCGCTTTCTAATTTTAGCAACGTGTTGCTTTTTACATTCCTCTAGGCTTACTATACGGAAGTTTATACGTCAAACTTTAAAAAAAAAAATCTAGGAAATGATACAGTCGTTGCGAGCGATGCCATGTAAAAGTCATAAAGACAGAGTATTTGTAGTTGAAAAGATTGAAAAGTAACAGTTAACTGCTGTATGTTATTTAAATGCTGTTTGTAAGTAAGTTCTGAATTTCTTATGAAAATACAACTGTTATTAAGTTATTAGAAGGTATTTGAATCTAATTAATGATTCTAGAGTTTTTACTTTAAACTCTATGGATAAAGCGTCATAATGCAATATGTCATTCTTAGAGGAAACTACTTTAGTGCCTTTCCTTTCACATTATTGGGTAATAATAGCCAATTATCATTTACAGAATACAATGCAATGACTGGAAAAAAAAATAAGCAAATTTATCGATGATCTTGAAGAAAAGGTGTTGGAATGCTCAATCTGCTTCAAAAAGCTTCAACAGCCTAAATCATTAACCTGTCTACATAGCTTTTGTTTTCAATGCTTAGAAGACTGGGTCAAGGTGAAGGGCGAGTTAGCTTGCCCAACCTGCTCAAAATCTTATCCAATTCCAGATGGCGGTCTGCAGAACCTACCACCAAATACCTTCGTCAATAATTTATTAGAAACTATTAAACAAATAGAGGAAAGAGAAAAATCAGAATGTAATTGTAAAACAGGTAAAAAGACAATGTATTATTGCCTGGAATGCCGTGAGTACATCTGCTCCGCTTGCTATGATCATCACAAAAGATTCCCAGCCCTTACAAACCACATAATACACACAATAGAAGATGTAAAATCTATGACGCCATTAGAGTTTTCATCGTTACATCGCCAAACGTGTGCCATTCACAATGAACCTCTGGATTTCTACTGTAAATGTTGCGAAACTGCAATATGTATTCACTGTTCAATTACCGACCACAGTGTAGGGGACGGAAACCATAAACTAATCAGTATTTCCCAGGCATTCAATGACTTTAAAAAGACTGCAATTGAATTGATGAAAATTGCAAATCAATACACCACCACAGCAGAAGTTATTCTTACTAAGATCCTTCTCAATGCTGTAAAAATAGACGACAATAAAGATACCTGTTTGAAAGATATTGAAAACCATGTGCAAGAAATGGTACAAATTATTAAGAACAACGGGGAGCAATTAAAAGAGAAAGTAAAGAGAAACCATGAACAGAAAAAGAAAGGAAATGATGCTAAAATTCATGAAATAAGTATACCAATATCTGATGTAGCAAACAAACTGAATTTTTTAAGTCAGTTATTGAAGAGCGATGAAGCAACAGCTATGCAATCGAGTCGAATGATTATTACATCCTTGGAGGAAAAAGTCAAGCAACTCTCCAAAACAATAAAAAATGAAAGTACTACAGATAATGAAGAAATTCGTTTTTTTAAAAACAAGCAGCAAGTTACAGAATTAAAGAAATTTGGGATTGGAAATGTAAGTGAGAAAAAGGTAGCAGATTGTTTAAGAATTAATACCGAGAGAAAATTATTTGCGACACAACGCCAGACAGTACCGGTCAAAATAGTCAAAACAGATAAATGTGAAATACCAGTAAATGAACTACAGGCGACATTGACAAAAGGTACAGAAGCAATCACATTGACCCCCATGATAGAGGAGAATAATGGAAATTATGTTGTAAAAATAGTATGTACAAGTATTGGTGTTTACACTTTAGATGTTAGTATTGGTGGTGAACCAATTAAATATTCTCCAATGACAATAAATATCCAACAGGAAGGTCTAGTGAACACTATCCAAGTAGGTAAAACGGTTGCTGATGTTGTATGGTGTAAAGAAAACTACTGCCTGTTAGTTTCATTTCAGAAAGATGAAATTTTAAAGTATAGGCAAACTGGTGAATATATTGGGAGTATTAAACTGCCAAATGTTGTGTGTGTTAATAGAATGTACAAAATGAAAAATGGTAACTTAGCATTCAGTGATAATGGTGTAGATCAGTGCATCAGGATATGCACGATGAAAGGTCAGTTAACCAGCACAATTGGAAAGAGAGTGATGGGTGGTTTATTTGGAATCGTGGTAAACGAGTCATCGACAGATGTTTATGCTACAAGTTTCGATAGTATTTTTATGTACTCGTTTAATATTGATAGTGAATTTGCCAAAAGAATGAATTTTACATTCAAAGGCTATAATGATATTACTTTTACGAGGGATGGCAACTTGCTTTTATCAAATCAAAATAATGGTATAATAGAATTATGGGATGGAGAACAGTTCAGAAAAGTGCTCATAGGGCCTGGTGATGATAATAGTAGGGTAAATAAGCCTGGCGGAATTGTTGTAGATAGAGATGGAAACATCATAGTATCAAGTATCAACAAATTACAGTTATTTGGTAGTGATGGAACTTTTATTAAAAGAATTGACAAAGACGAAGATGGAATAAATTCTCCACAGGGCTTAACAATAATTTCCTACTATCCAAGGAAATTTGCTGTCACAAACCATGAATCAGTGAAAATATATAATTACTAATTTTTGTTTGTGTTATTGTTAAAAATGTATAACAAAATGTGGTTTGTGCGCAAATACTGAATCTGTTGTCACGACATATTATAAGAAAATAATAATAAACAATATAAATAATATTAATAATACTACAAAAAAGAATAATACAAACTTCTATTTTAAAACCATTAATTTAAAAGGAAAACAATAACTCAATTGGATAACATTTCATTTGAATTAAACCTGATACTGTGTTACCTCTGCCAAAGAATGTTATGTATTCACTGCTATGTTTGTCAGGCTGCCTGTCCGTCTGTTAGCAAGGTTACGCACAGAACTAAGAAATGGTATTATAAACTTTAGTGAAATAATAAATAATAATTTAAACAATTTTGGTATGAAAAGTCAAATGACAGCAAGGCCAATGCCACGTAAATTTTCACGATCTTTATTACCTTCACTTTCAAATTTATCTTTATCATTAACTTCATCATCATCATAATCGTCAGTATCTTCATCATTGTAATCATCATCATCATTTGTTGTCACCGCCATCGTCATCATCATCATCATTATTATTATTCAATTCAATTATATTATCTTTATCATTTACTTCATCATTATCATCATAATCATCATCACAGTCGGTATGTTCATCATCATAATCACCATCATCATTTGTTGTCACCGCCAACATCATCATCGTTATTCAATTCAATTATATTTTATATATACAAAGAGGTGAACATATATTATCAAATACAAAATGATAAAATCTAGTGAGTACCAAGAGAAAGCAAACTTTGTAAAACAATTATGCGTTATACAACGTTGAAAAATAACTGAAAATAAACAACTTAGATTTAAGGACAAAGATAAATTGTACATAGCTATGAAAAGTTATCCAACATTAAACATATGTTAAAATATCATTTAGACTGTTTTGAATAGTAAGGGCTAATGAGGACATGGCAGTCCTTGAACTTGGAGTTTGTTTCATTAGATAACAACGTGAGCGTTGTATTTCCAGCGTCACTGTCTATCTGAACAAATCGGAAGTCAATAGTTATAAACTATCATACCGTCACTTACGTCTAGGTCTTATTGCTGGTAGCAGGCGAAACGTCAAGTACATAGTCAAAGTAAGTAACATTCCATCCAGTAATAATGGTATAAGTAGACACACAATTTTGAAGTATATATGACTATTATATATATATATGTACTTATTATTATATGTTAAATATTTTAAATAAATAAGTGAATATAATATGTATGCCAAGCCTACAGTACTTATGAAACAATGACAATTAAATTAGCCTACATTATTCTACTCTGCTTAGTTTAACGATTATCATGATATAATATTGTTTATATTTCAAAAACACTGAAATTAAAAGGGTTGTTTAGTACCTATATCCGCAGAATTGTTGTTAATAAATTTCTCATTTGTTAATGATAATTTATTTATTTTATTTATTTATAAAAATTAGGCCTATCTTTTCAAAGATCTTGTCTTGTCATCAAATGCTTAAGATCAGGGCGCATTATTTGATCCCTGATATTTTTAAATGAGAAAAAGAATGCGTTGCTTTTTATCGGTTTTGGGGTGGGGGAGGGGGAGAGGAAGAGAGAGATGCTGCATAGGCAAATGGTATAAAATGAGGCACGTAGGTGGTAGTTTATTGACCACAAAGCTTATTGACACAATGAGATGTTTCAGGCATAACACTCTGTTCACGTTTGATTGCAGATCAACCACATCGTGTAGCCAACATTGTTTCTATCTTACCTAAGGCACCGCGGTACATTAACTAAGGCCCTATAAAAAATATTATTAGTGTATCACCCTATCTGGGCAGGAAAAGTGATGAGGAGGGAGGCTTTTTTTATTTTATATTTTGCTAAAGCCAAATATAACCCTTGGTTTGTTTGCTTGTGTATTGATATTCAAAGTAAAACATGATTTAGATAATGCAAACAATATCTACTAACTATTTAATAAAATAAATGAAAAAAATAAATAAATAAAATAAAATTTTAAAAAATGTTAATTTTTTTTTTTCCCAAAAAAATATATTTTTTTCAATACCATAAAAGGCATGCGCGCGAGGGTGATAAACTAATAATTTTTTTTATTGGGCCTAATAAAAAACACTATTCAAAGCAACAAACAATGCGCATATTGTGTGGTTGCTAGCATACACTGAGATATGTCAAATAAAATATCTCTGTCTTTTTTTATATTTAGGCCTATCAATAAGGTATTCTACTACTTGATATAAATTATGTAATGCCATGTTTTATTTTGTTAGAAATAATTATATTTCAACTGTGTTTCGTTTAATATCTCAAGCTATATGCAATGCAATTTTAAATGATTTGTTTGACATTTTCACATTGAATATTTTAAGATAAATTTTCATGCTTATCTGAATATTTTTATATCTCAAATACCTTTTAAATTAAATTTCATTTTTTATTGACTTTTACTCATTTTTCTATATTTCAATATTTACCTTTCGATTTTTTATCTTTCTGAAGAATTTTATATTGTATGTATTGTGTTTTTCATGTAAAGGTCCTCCACTCGACAGTGATTGATTTTACTTTTGGAGTGTCCTGTCTCTGTTTTTTGAACTTTTGTGATTGTTCTTTCCCGTTTCTGTTTATGTACATTTTAATTGTTTGAGACAAATAAATGAAATGAATGAAATGAAATATATGCTCTCTTAATATATTAAAATCGTATGACTTTTTAAATTTGTAATTTGCAGGATAAAATTTAACATGGCTGAAAATGAGTTAAGCCAAATTTTGGACGACCTACAAGAAAAAGTATTGGAATGCTCCATCTGCCTCAAAAGACTTCAACAGCCTAAATCACTGAACTGTCTTCACAGTTTTTGCATACAATGTTTACAAGACTGGATCAAGGAAAAGGGCGAGTTAAGTTGTCCAACTTGCTCAAAATCATATTCCATTCCAGAGGGCGGGCTTCAGAATCTACCACCAAACACCTTTATCAATAACTTATTAGAAGCTATTAAACAAGTAGAAGAAAGGGAACAAGTAGAATGTAGTTGTGAAAAAGGTAAAAAAGCAACATACTATTGTCAGGAATGTAGACAGATGTGTTGTATTTGCTTTGAACATCACAAGAGATTTCCAGCTCTTAAGAGTCACGAAGTACACTCAATAGAAGATGTGCAATCAATGACGCCACTAGAATTCTCATCATTGCATCGCCAAAAGTGTGCTCTTCACTCAGAACCTATGAAGTTGTATTGTAAATTCTGTGAAAATGTAATATGTATGCACTGTGCCATTACCGAACACAATGTAGGAGACGGAAAACATAAGGTAATAAGTGTTTCCGAGGCATTTAATGAATTTAAAATGACTGCAGTTCAATTGAAGAAAGCTTCAAATCTTTACACCACCACAATGGAGGAAGGCCTCAATGATCTTCTTTACAATGCAGCAAAATTAGATGAAAATAAGCAGACCTGCTTAAGAGACATTGATAATCATGTGCAAGAAATGGTCGAAACTATCAAGAAACAGGGAAAACAATTAAAAGAAAAAGTAGAGCAGGAACATGAAAACCGCCAGTAGGCTAGATTCGACTTAAATGAAATTACACACACGGTAGTCTACAGTTATAACGTTTATTCAGCAAGAACCAAACACATGTAAATATCGACCCACAATGGCTGACTCCGGTGCCCCGGGAGAGGGCGCACTATTGTTTACCATTGAATAACAACCCTGGCGTGACCTCTTTCTTTCCCTTTTTTGTATTTCTCTTAATTTGTTTTAAACATAAACTACAACCACAAGCGGAAACATCATGATGAAAGGGAAACAACTATGGAAAGAGAGAGCCGCAAACTGGCCAAACAAAATCGGGTGCACTCACCCACCATCAATAG